TCCCTGTTGCAGTGTGTGCAAACCTGGTCAAGAACTACAGGAAACGTTTGATCTCTGTAATTGCAAACAAAGGCTTCTGTACCAAATATTAACGATTTTCTCAGATGTTCAAATCCTTATGTTCAGCAGTGCAAGACAAATAAATTCTTTAAAAATCAAACAATGTGATTTCCTGATTTTTTTTTAATTCTGTCTCTAAGAGTGGGAATGCATCTACAATGTGAATTTCAGACCCCTCCATGATTTCTAAGTGGGAGAACTTGCAAAATCGCAGGGTGTTCAAATACTTCTGTTCTTAACTGTAAGTGTCACACCAAAGGATCTAGAGAGTAATTATTCCATCAAACATCAAAAAAACAAGATCGAGTGGTTCAGGGAGCAGGCCCTCGAAACCATCAGCTGCTGAAGTGAATATATTAAAGTACAGTATACTGTATGAACCCTTACCTTGTAAAGCAGCTAATTATGTTTAAAATAGAAATGAAAGGCAAAACATTTGTGTATTTATATAATTATGAATACCCTTTTTTCTTTTTCTTTTTTTATAAGTGAACACATTATTATTATTACTAGTATTCAGGATTTACTGTATATAGTACCAGTAGGTAAGCAGTGCTTTAAACGTGATACCTCTGTTTTCAGCTGAACAGGGGGCTTAGAGAGGTAGGGGTGGAGAAACAGTAGTACACTGATATTCCTGGCGAATGGCTGTGCAGGGGGCATGTCAGCACAAGTCTGACCATTGGAGGACAGGCAGGCTGTCTCCCAGCACAGCCATAAAACGGACCACGTTGAGATGGATATGTTCTCATGCCTATCAAGTCATTTTTAAGAGGACTGTAGAGACTTAAAGGGGTTTATTTACTAAAGCTGGAGAGTCCAAAATCAGACTCCCTTCTGCATAGAAACCAATCAGCTTCTAACCTCAGCTTGTTCAATGAAGCTTTGGCAATGAAACCTGGAAGCTGATTGGTTTCTATGCAGAAGTGAGTCTGATTTTGGACTCTCCAGCTTTAGTAAATAAACCCCCAAAATGTCTGACTTAGGCATGTAAAGGGCTATAATAGCCGAATCACAGGTGTAACTAGCACCTTGAGAGCCCTGGTGCAAGACACCATGAAGGACCCCCTGATCCCTGGAGTGGACCCATCATTCCTGGCCCAGGACCCTTTACTCCAATTGCTAGACCCTTTATTACAGTCCTGCAGTGGGACCTTTTCACATGTTGTGCAGAAGGCCCCCAGCCTGCCATCTTGGGCACCCCAAATAGTGGTGGAACACCAGGGCCTGGTCACAACTGCGATCTTTGAGATCTGCTGTCAGTAGTACTGTGAGTGGTGTCAGTCAATACAGCAGTGGACAGGTCAGTAGTTTTTTATTTATATTTTATTTTTTATACTTTTTTTTTGAGTCTCATTGAAGGGCTTTGGTGAAATATCCCTGGCAGCACTGCGAGGTGGGCCAGGGGAGCACAGGGGAGCAATTACTAATTCTCACTTTCCTTTAGCAACCCTGTTAAAATTTTCATGCTTAATCAAAGAAAATATATATTTTTTAATTTTTATATAGTAACCAGGCTCAGTTTTAGTATAGTTGATCAGATCTTATAATGTTTCTACAGGCAAATATAGATAATTATAGTATTGCAGATTTTTCAGAATTACATCTAATAATACATAAGGTGTATTCATTGTCTATAGAAAAAATGAAACAAATTTTTAAACGTCTATTTAAAACGTAACTCAAAAACAACAAATTTAGATATTGCAGGTTACTAGTCCTAAGACACATTAGCTTTCGTTTGTCAAGCTAAGAACAACATTTTCTTCAATTATAAAGATACTGGTTTATCTTTCCAGAAATGCATTGCCCTTGTCCCTTCCTGAGAGCTGAAAAGAATGCAAAAACATCTTTATGGTTCGTATGTAAACTACTAGTCCCACCAGTCCACCAATCAATGGAGATGAACAAAGGCTGACCTATTTAGCCTGTGTGAAAACCATGGCTGCCTCCATAGATACATTGACGAACTAAGTGTAGCTACGAAGGAGCAGAATGTGTGTTATTTGCAGAATTACCAGATAAAATAACAGGAAAATGGCTTAAAAATAATTGTATTCAGCCAGCCTATATAAGGACAGAGCTTTTGAGACTTACTCCCTCAGTCCTTCTTCTGTGCTTCTGCCAGGCCTGCTAGCTGGGCCGCTCCTTCCCTGCTGCACAGGTGGTCCTTACTCTGGGGGCTGGTAAAGGTCTGAGCTTTCTTTCTTCCAAGCTCCACTGCCTGTAGGTGAGCCCCTTTATCCATCTGGGCCCCCTCCCAGGCTGCTGCCTTCAGCCTCCCATTGTCAGGAATGGACTTGCCAATAGTGGTGGGACTCACCTGCCTTGTGGGCTGCAGTACCAGGGCTGGCCAGCGGGTGCTCTCAACAACCAGAGGTTCACTTTGGCAATTAGCCATCACCTGGGGCTGATTGCAGGTGGTGTATTTAAGGGATGGCCAGACTTGCAGTCTGTGCCTTGGTGTGTGTTTTTCCATGGGCCCCTGTACCTTGTAGCCTGCATTCCTGTTCCTGCCTGACTTTGTTGCCGACCCTGCCTGATCCTGACCTCTCTGTCTTTCACCCGAACTCTCTTTCTGCTGAGCAGACTCACTCACTTTTAAGGGTTGTCCTGCCCCTTGCCAAGCCTCCTGTTGGGTATTAGCAAGGATCCTTCAAAAGTGCAGATCACCCACTGCTTCTAGACCTTTTCTCAAAAGTTCTAGAGCAGGGGAAATTTCAGAGGGCTGGTCTGCAGAGCCTCTCAGCTCTGACCACAATTCGACCCCTGCTAGCTATCACACCCAGGCTGCTACTTAGCCCTTCTAGCTAACAATTGAGGTTAGCTCCATCTAGCTGACTAAGAGGGTGTTGCATCAGGGAAATGGAACATTTCTTCTCTGGATCTTTTGGTGTGGCTTTTATAAAGCTACTGTATTTTCCAATAGTATGGGGCCAGTTTGATTTATCATGTCCACAACATAAGATTGTTTACCTAGAAAGGACACTTGACAAATATTTGTATTTAATTAGTGCAAGGCAACAGAATATATATATATATATATAGTAACAGAATATATATATACTGTGTGTGTATATATATATATATATATATATATATACACATACACACACAGTATATATATATATTTATTTTTATTATTATACATACAAACAAACACTGGGGATTATTTACTAAAGCTGGTTCACTTTCATGCACTTCTGCATGGAAAGCAATCAGCTTCCAGGTTTTACTCTTGGTTCACACTACTGCAGTGCGGGTCACCACATGTAATTCGCAAAGGAATCACACCACATTCCTGTATGAATTACATGCAATGTCTGTGCAGTGTGATTTAAGCTATACATTTTGTATGGCTCAAATTGCACTGCATCCGCAGCATAAAGGTTCAGGACTCTTTTGTTTTTACCTGCACTCACCCATGTGATGCGATTTCTGGCAATTGCATGGCATTTTGTGATATTTTCGGGTTTCATTCATTTAACCGCACCAGATGACGTGAATGCCATGCGATTGCAATGCACTGTGGGAAACACACCGGATTTGCAGCGTTTCCTGCACCATATTAGCCCCGGTTCACATATATGTGGCCGTGCAGGCCGCGTTTTGCTTGGGCACGAGAGCCCATTCATTTGAATGGACTTCCGTGCCCCAAACATGCAGGGAGGAAGTCCCTGCACTTCTTCCGAAAACGCAGCCAGCACGGGAACTTCGGTTCCCAGTACGGTTGCGTTTTCCAGTGTGGGCGGCATGCCATTAGAATTAATGGCAGCCATCCACGGGTCCGCATTTCTCTGTGCGGGTGGTGTGGCTGCATGGATTTTCGTGCGGATCCGCAGCGGCACCACTCGCACATATGTGAACCAGGGTTAGTGTGAACCCAGTCTTATTGCTAAAGTGCATGAGATTCTGAATGAACCAGCTTTCGTAAATCCCCCCCACTGCATTAAACTAATGGTATGATTAAGAATTTTTCAACATTCATTTAGAAATACAAATGTAAGGAGAATGCTAATACATTAGCCCTTAATAAAGATAAATATTGCTTGTAGACCCGAGCAATTTAAATATCGAGTAGAAGGCTTGTAAAAAGAAAAAGGATCTTCTCTTTGTCATTTATAATTTTTATAATAATAGGTGTTGTTTTCCATATCCTTTAAACAAAAGAGGCTTACAAAGTCTGATTCTACCATAAAAAAATAGAAATACCATGTTATCATGACATCACAAGGTCTGTGTCATGGAGCAGATTTTAAAGTATGCAGGTTCCTCAAAAACCCCAGAAGCAGACTTGCACCAGACCATGCAATCATTGCTGCCCAGGGTTGGGGGATTACCCCTTACTTCTTGTCTCAGACAAGATAAAATAGAAAACCTCGCCAGCAGACAAGAAGTCATGGGAAATTTCACCCACAAGGAAACAAACAGCAATAAAAACTCTGAATTAATATGAAACCTTCCCCATGCTACAAAATAGTGTTTTTATTACAGAGAAAAATGGTATTGTGCTACGTACAAGCAAAACAGATACTGTATATATATATAAAAAAAAATTTAATTTTTATTTCGTGCTACCCTTGTGCATTCAATTCACTCTAACGTTTGATTACTTCCATTATTTATTTAGTCACATTGGATTGTATTTGTTCATTTTTTCCTGTTGCCTATGGCTGTAAAGTGATAATGGTGCACATCCATTACTGCTTTAACACATCTAATTTCTATATTGTATTTCTGAAAACAGGATAATTGGTTATCTTGAGCTTCCTAAATCATATAAATGTATATGTCACAGATTTATGATCATATAGTCTACAGATCATACAGGTGTATGGTGATGTAACAATGGCTGCCTGTACTTTGATCATTTGAACATTTTAACCAGTGGTGGTTAGGTATAGGTCTATGTAACGTGTAATTGTTTGTATTACTAAAACCTGTTTTGATTACCTGATAGAAAAGTTGGGGCCAGGGGCGGACTGACCATTTGGAAACTCGGGCACTGCCCGAGGGCCCGGGGTCAGTAGGGGGCCCCATGAGATGCCCCTGGTACCTTTTTCATAGGCTTTTTTGAGTTTGGGCAAGGACACAGGGGCCCCATGATCCCCTATTGCCTGGGGGCCTCAAGAGTTGTCAGTCCGCCCCTGTTCGGGGCCCATTCACAACAGTGTGTTCTGGTAATGAATCAAACACATTTGTGAGATGATACAGTGCAGGTTCATTGCCGTATATAGTATGCATCAGAGTGGCATTTTTTTTAAGTAAAAAACCTCTTCTATATACCCAAGATACTCACCTAAATCTGTGATCCTGTGATGTACTGGGGTTTCAAAGCTTCTATCTTCTTTTCTCCAGAGAAGGAGGTCCTTCTTCATGTGCCCACATAACTGCTTGGGTGCTGTAGACACTTACCACTAGCTGTCCCGTAGCAGGGTCCTCTCAGCATATAGAAGACTGCTCAGTGTAATGTCACCAGGAAGATGTGACTGGTCTATTGCAATTCTGCATCCACTGGTCATCATTCCTGGAAGTAGTACTGGCAAAAGACATGGATGATGCAATTAGGGGAGCAGGGGCGGACTGACCATTTGGAAACTCGACATGTGTACAGTATGTATATCCCAGCTCCCCTGTACTCCATTATAGTGATAGGACATGTGTACAGTAATGTATATCCCAGCTCCCCTGTACTCCATTATAGTGATGACATGTATACAGTAAAGTATATCCCAGCTCCCCTGTACTCCATTATAGTGATATGACATGTATACAGTAATGTATATCTCAGCTCCCCTGTACTCCATTATAGTGATATGACATGTATACAGTAATCATTACTGTATACTGTACATGTCATCACTATAATGGAGTACAGGGGAGCTGGGATATACATACTGTATACATGTCATATCACTATAATGGAGTACAGGGGAGCTGGGATATACATTACTGTAATACATGTCATATCACTATAATGGAGTACAGGGGAGCTGGGATATACATTACTGTATACATGTCATATCAGTATAATGGAGTACAGGGAGGGGGGATATACATTACTGTACACATGTCATATCACTATAATGGAGTACAGGGGAGGGGGGATATACATTACTGTATACACGTCATATCACTATAATGGAGTACAGGGGAGCTGGGATATACATTACTGTATACATGTCATATCACTATAATGGAGTACAGGGGAGCCAGGATATACATACTGTATACATGTCATATCACTATAATGGAGTACAGGGGAGCTGGGATATACATTACTGTATACATGTCATATCACTATAATTGAGTACAGGGGAGCCAGGATATACATTACTGTACACATGCCCTATCACTATAATGGAGTACAGGGGAGCTGGGATATACATTACTGTACACATGTCCTATGACTATAATGGAGTACAGGGGAGGAGGGATATACATTACTGTATACATGTCATATCACTATAATGGAGTACAGGGGAGCTGGGATATACATTACTGTATACATGTCATATCACTATAATGGAGTACAGGGGAGCCGGGATATACATTACTGTATACACGTCATATCACTATAATGGAGTACAAGGGAGCCAGGATATACATACTGTATACATGTCATATCACTATAATGGAGTACAGGGGAGGGGGGATATACATTACTGTATACATGTCATCACTATAATGGAGTAGAGGGGAGCTGGGAAATACATTACTGAGTAATGTATATCCCAGCTCCCCTGTACTCCATTCTAATGATATGACATGTTGTATACAGTACTTACTCCTAGTCCCCCCGAGTCCCCCGCAGGGTGGAGAGGGTGTCTCCTCTCAGTGGAGGAGAGCGGACCTCTCCTGCACCTGTCCCCTCAGCGGCGGTGCCACAGAAGCCGGAAACCAGAAGTTGTAAACCGGAACTCGGCTTCACAAAGAGGCTTGGAGCGCAGGTGCAGTTTCTCCATGCTTCATCTGTGCTCGCTGCTCGCCGCTTGCCACAGAGGAATTTCTCCTCGCATTTGGCGAGCGGGCGAGCGGCTTTTTCAAGCCCTGCACTATGAGATCTATTCTTTTTTATGTCCTGGTAAGTGGAAAAGTCTGTACATGATAGGAAGCAGTAAGCACCGGGAGAATTGCAGCATTCCTGTAACCCAGTGATCTGGGAAGGCGCATAGGACTTTCACCTTATGGTGGGTCATGTTTTGGAGGTAAGAGTCAGTAGAGACAGGTGGAGGAACACAGTGGTGGATCATCTTGCACCTTTTGTTGACAAGCACACATCACAATAAATATGCAAAATTGATAAATGTTGGAGTCACACGAATACTCAGAAGAGAGTTTTGTGGATTTTTTTTCATACATAAGGACTAAGCACTTTTTTTGTATACACGATACTGGACTGCACTGTATTTATACTGGTTTGGATTGCACTATATTTCAGTATTTTGTCGCTTATGGTATAGCATATACGCTTATTCCATTGCACTTTTTATGTTATATCTGAAGTTGTTGTTTTTTATGTCGTATGTTCACATGCACAGTTACATAGGGTTTTTTGAGTATATGAAGAATTTGGTTTTTTTTTGTTGTGCTGCACTATTCATATAGATATTTTTTACAATTAGGTGTGGGAATGCACAGCAGTGATTAGCAGCAATATATATTGTATTTACACTCACATTTTTATTCTTTTAGGTAGTGCAGTGTTTTTTATTTATTTTTTGATTGGCTGAAACCGGCTGACAAACTCGTGCTGTGTCCAATGACAGCTCAGATCAGCAGGGGGTGCATGCACATGCTCCCGAAACCGGAAGAAAGGCTGTGACATACAGGTACGTTGCCTAGCCTGGCTGTGCTACCTGCCCACAGTAGATGTACTTTGGGCAGGCAGCAAATGGTTAACATTTGACGCTGCACTTTAAACAATCATACCTTACCAAAACGCACTGGCGTGAGCTGGCCCTGTTGCTCAGTAACTGATTAAATAATGGCTACCTGTGCTATACAGTAGTCATTAGTCACTGAGCCCTGGTTCACATATATGTGACCGTACAGACCCTGTTTTGCACAGGCACGAGAGCCCATTCATTTGAATGGACTCCCATGCCCTGTGACATGCAGGGAAGAAGTCCCTGCAGTTCTTCTGAAAACGCAGTCCATGAGGAAACCTCGGTTTCCAGTACGGTTTGCATTTTTCAGTGCGGGCGGCGTGCCATTAGAACTAATGGCACCCGCCTGCGGGTCCGCATTCCTCTGTGTGGGTGGTGCGGCTGCATGGATTTTCGTGCGGATCCGCAGCGGCATCACCCGCACAGATGTGAACCTAGCCTTACTGTTCCAGCACTGCAAGATGATGAATCATTAAAGTGGTTGTAAAGGCTCAAGTTTTTTTACCTTCATGCAGTCTATGCATGAACCTTAAAAAACTGTCTCTGTGCAGCACCCCCCCCCCAGCCCCCTTATTACTGACCTAAGCCCCTTCTTGATCCAGCAATGTCCACTGGAGTCTCGGCTAGCCTGGGACTCCACCTCATTGGCTCAGGAATAAACGGGAGCCATTGGCTTCAACTGCTGTCAATCAAAGCCAGTGAGCCAACGAGAAAATGAGGGGCAGGTCTGATCCCCGGCTGTGTGAATGGATATACAGAGCAGCGGGTGACCCCAAAGCAAGCTGCTTGCTGTAGGGGTCCCCCGTCAGGAGTGAGGGTCCAGGAGCGCCGGTGGGGGACCCGAGAAGAGGAGGATCTGGGCTGCTCTGTGCCACTGTACACAGCTGATATGTATAGACATGTTTGTTATTAAATAAATAAATAAACCTTTACACTTCCTTTAATACATGCTGCTGTGTAGCTGATGCCATGGCAAGCCATCTGCCCCATCAGTACACCTAGAGCTACACAAGTGATGAAATCCCTCCTACTGTAAGATTTACAGCAGATATCCAGTCTATCATTTAAGATGATTACAAGTAGTTCTATTTAACCGCTTCAGGACCACAATGTTAAACACTTTCCCACCTTTCTCCCTCAACACACACACTTCCTTTTTACCAGGAAAAAAGAATATAATTGTTTGACTGAGATCTGTTCTCTTGTCATTTAGTTTGTTCAGATGAGTGTGATATTATCTCTGTGAACAAGCAGGCTTTGTTTTTGTTACCTAAATCAAAGTGTATTTCCTCTTTTGCAGCCAAATTGGGATAACATCTACTTTATATTTGTCACAAGTTCTCATTCACATAGTATAACATAAAAAAAACCCATGAAAATTGCTGCTTACATTTTACGTACTTTTTTCTGAAAAAAAAATCCAAAACTGAGCAGAAGGGTCTGGGAGTTAATATTTTGCATAATTAATCCTGTCTGTACTGTGCTGGCAGATCTTATTACCAGCTGTAAAGTTGAACACTGTCTGTACTAGAAAAGAGTTAACTGGGCTACTTCGTTGTCTTCATTGTTAGCTGGGCTTCTTCATTGTCTGAGGGAGATGCTCTTCCCTGTCCCTGCTTGTCAGTGGGAAAAGATTGAGTTTGCTCTCATTTCAAAGTGTCTAGAGTAGCTTGCAGGCTGCCCTGAGGCCTGCTCCAAACAAACACATAGAAAGGCAAGGAAATATTTTTTTTTCAATTATTTGTAGGTATGATGTGTGATCGGGAACACATAACTAACATAGTGGGGGTTTCCAGAATTTGACTTCAAAAGTACAAATATACTTCAAAGTCCTCTGTGCTGAAATCAACTGCAAACTGCAAAGTGTTGCTACGTATCACAAAACTAAAAGTGTCCCTAACACTAACACACCCCATAGTATTAATTCTATGCCAATGAACTCTAAGCACTTAATTATCTCTTTTCACGTACCTGAGTGCATACCAGGATGACAAGGGTAGACTCTCACATACAAGAAAGGCAGCCAAGTGGTGCGAGTGCCTGTGAGAATAAACAGTAGGGACTCGAACTCGGTGGATAAAAGGACGAGGAACCAGAGGAAACAATGACTATGGTTCAGGAGGGGGTTAGTCAGCTGATAGAGGCAGACAAGGAGGTCATACAGCAGGTGGTTAGTCAGAAAACAGGTCAGGATTGAAAACAGACAGGCAGTGAAATACCCCAAAACTCAAGTCTTCAGCAGGGGAAAATGAATTACTAAAA